CTGTGTTGCCTCCCCAGGATGCCTCTCCTCACTGAGGAAGAGTATTTTTCTTTTTCCCTGCACCAGTGCATTAATGACTCATCTTTGAGACAGTTTAATAGATACACTGAAACTGATTATTTGGGAAAGCAAACAGATTGAGATTGGTGTCATGGTCACGGAAAGGTAGGCAGGTAACGTGTCTTATCAAACGCTAACCCAAAAAATTCCCAATGAATTCCATTTTGATTTCCATATGGATTGAGGGGAGATGATATTTTTAATGGGGAAAACAAATAGAAAATCAACTCTACACGGATTGTTCAGCTGGTTTAAGTATGAACTGATGCTCCTCTGTTCTCACGGACTATACTTGGGATTATAGAGCAGGTTGATGACCACCAAGAACTTCCGAGCCCCCAGAAAGAGCCATAATGCATAGGTCTACCCAACATGGGGACTTAGAAAGGATTTATTAAGTAGCTTAGCTTTGTTTGCATTGATAAATGAGCCTTTCTAAAAAAAGATTTTCTTTTTTTTTAAACTCGGATTCTAAGTGAGCCAGCTGCAGATGCTGTTGTCATTATGAGAAACCGTCCATCTAGCTTTCTTTCAAAATCTCCCAAGCCCTATCCAGGTGTTGAGATTTAAGGATGTGCCATTTCTTCCATCAGCTGCACAGGATGGACTCACCCACACTGTCAGCACCTCGTGCACAAGAGAAGGCTCTCTTTGTATACTTCCTCAAGGCACCTCAGTGTAGCTGTCTCATTCTGTTTCAAATTAACATCAGTGGTCATTTCCGCTGGCGATGCTGTGTAAAAGGAACTCTATATCCTTCAACTGTTCTCCGTTTGCAGGGCACCATGGGAGGCTGTTAAGATATGCAAATTGTGTTGTCTCAATGTACGCTCCTGGGTAATTTTTTCCCTCTTCCTTTTAGGAAATCTAAAAGAACGTGTTAGAGTTTGGCTCCTAATACTGGAGGAAATAGAACAGTGAGTGTGGGTTCTCCCTATGAATCTTCTCTTGAGGATAGATTTTCTAATAAGGTTGAATGCCACACTTTGGGGCATATGGCATGGACCAGTGAAATTGCCTGGTAAAATCACTAAAGCAATCTTTAAATACACTGAGACACGGTCACTATCATATGAATGTTTGCTGATTACTTTTCTAGATATAAAATTTCGCCAGAGAATGAATTCTGCAGATACGATCTGTAAGTAGTTTTAAGTCACATGGTGAATAATCGAATTTTATCTCTGTGACCTAATAGTTAAGAATATAGGAGGGACGAGACTGCCCAAGTTCAAATGCTCACTTCCATTGACTATGTGATGTGCGTTGCTTAAAATCTCTACATTTTGGCATCCTCATTTTTAAAATCAAGATTATAAATCCTAGCTCATGGTCTATCGCCAGATAATGTTCCTGTCAAGCGGTCATCATTCATTCTAGGAAAGCTAATATTGTTATTGTTATTTAATTGCTTTGGGGAAAATAAGTAGTTGATTGAATATTGCTTATCCCGGGCATTATTTGAGAATTCTTAATGACCCATTTCTGCATCAGGGATCTGATCAATTGCAGCTGAATTCACCCCATCCACCTGTTATATATAATCGATAGATAATTTAATAATAACTTTCTTATAGTAATTAAGCCAGCACAATAATACTGTTTTTGCCATAGTGGAAATAGAAAAACAGAAGTGATACAGACTCTAGCAAATGGCTTAGTGTAAAGGTGTAGTTCTAATTTAAATACCCCATAATAGGTCATTAGTGCAGTGTGTGTCCTGTGTGTCCCCCCTGTCCCAGTCATTCCTCCTCTCCCCGTCTGACACAAGACAATAGCTCCTAGCTCTTTCTCCTCACCCTTCTTAATAAAATCCATATTGTCCAAACAATGGCTGCTAGTTCATAGGCACAATTCCTCCTTCTTCTAGAACCATCTTTGACCAACTATTCCAGAAAATTGTCACTGAAAGGCACCACCTGCTGAAGCCCTACAGAAGATTCTGCCCTCCCTGCCCACGTTAGAATGCTCTCAGGCCTGACGTTTTGCAAGAAAGGCTTATTCACGGTGCCCTTGTTGATTTTCTCCCACAGTAGTCTGTATTTTCCTTTTTCCCAAGTTTAAGAAATGCTTCTCACAAATGGCAGAATATCTTATTTTTTATCACCCGTCATCATTTTGAAAATAATCATTTGAGAGAACAATAACAAATTATGATTACTGGTAAGAAAGCAAACTCTTTCAAAAGTCCGTAAATCAGGGCTATTGTCCAGGATATGCTACCCCAGGATATGGCATCTTGGCCTATTGAGTATTTCAAGTTGAACGTGTTGGAAAAAATGGCAGAAGCAGGCAGGATGCTCTGATCTCCTTGCCCGCTTGCTTTTCTGTCCTGAAGCAGGTCCTAAAACGCTCATGAGCAAAGAGCCACCCTCTGTCCGCAGGAAAGGAGCATCCTTGTCTCTGAGAAAAGGGGATCTCAAGAAGAATCCTCACAAATGGGCCTCACTGAGTTTTCCCCAGTTTTACTACCATTACCTCATAGTCCTTAACCTATCCTGTTTTTCCAGAACTGTCCACTCATCACACCTGGCATTTAAAATGCACAGGTCTTACTGTTTTTTGGGGTCTTCATTTCCTTATAGAGGCTCCGGGTCACATAAAACTTACATGAAATAGATGTGTATGCTTTTCTACTATTAACCTGTCTTTGTCAGTTTAATTTTCATACCCAGTCAGGAATCAACCCTAAGAGGGTTAAGGAAAACGTTTCCTCCTCCACATCAGCTTGGATTTAGACTCTGGGACATGACACATTTAGAATTAATTCTAGAAGCCCCTTACAACAAAATGTTCCAGTTGGTTAAATGCTTCCATTAAAAGTCAAGTAACTCCTGGCACTCTTCTCAAATATTATAAAAAAGTCCGATGTGGAAACAAAATAGGTAAAGTCATAGCTGCCCTAGGAGAGACTCAGAGATACTGCAAGTTAAAGGAGCTCTAGACCAGGGATCATCAAACTAAGGTCCGCATGCTAGATTCAGCTGGCCTCCTGTTTGTTTTTGCCTAGGAGTTAAGAGTGGTTTTTATATTTTTAAATGGTTGAGGAAAAGCATAAAAAGAAGAATCATATTTTGTGACATGTACCTATTATGTGAAATTGAAAATTCTGTAACCGTAAATAAAATTGTGTTGGAAACACAGCCACATCCAATTGTTTGCCCTTAGTCATTCTGCTTCTGACTTGCAAGAGCAGAACTGAGTAGTTGGGGAAAAGACCACTGGCTCCCAACCCCAAACATCTTGACTATCTGGCCTTTTATGAAAAAAGTCAGCTGACTCCTGTTACAGACCATCGGAATTATAGATGGCCATTAGAGTCCAATTTTCAAAGCTCATTTTCATGTGTTGGTTTAGATGACATAAGAAATTGCTTATATTACAGAGTTAAGGAAATAAAAGCACGATGGGAATTATATACAGTGTAATGTTGATTATGTAAAATCAAAATGAGTAAATGACTTAAAAAATAAATATGCTTATATATTAACAGTATTTGACCTCAGATTGAAATTACACACATTCTGTCCCCTGCTTTTCTCTGCTCTTTTGGGATATCTACAAACTAGAAAATCAGAAGAAAGTAATCAGAAGAAAATCAGAAGTACAGTTTTAAATAGAGCTTATTTGTATGACAGTCTGTGAAGGTGTTTCTACACTTTGGTTCTCGTACATCAAACAAGGGACATATTTTATAATTTATAACTATATTCTGCTAGTTAAGGCTCCAAAGACCACATCTAGTTAACTTTATCTCGAAAAATCCATATAACACATATTTTTTTCCAAAATAACTCTTAAATTATTAAATACGTTTAATGGAAATCAGAATCTAATTCTATGAGTAAGCTAAATGTTATGTTTCCATTATTTTGTTAAACTAAGAGAAATATTGCTAATGAATTAGCTACAAATTGTAAATTTTGAATGGGGAATGTAGTTGTTGGAGTTCAAGAATACATTTTAAGTTTCAAATGACTTAATTGACTGTTTAGTTATACATGGAGAAAATCCATTTATATAAATATTAATTTTGTGGCAAACATTTTCCATTTCCCTTTTTTTTTTAATGAAAGAGGATTTAAAAAAAACAAAACAAAACCCTAAACTCAAGCTCTTTGCTATAACTCAAGTACACTGAGAAGGATACAGTTCCAGCAGATGTTTACCTATTTGGAAATGAAATACGGAGATGTACATGAAGATTGATAAAGATGTGCGTATATGTGCATATATTCAAGGCCAGCTAACTCTACAGATTTATGTATGATTAATTTCAGTTAAAAGAATTGTACCTTATAGATTTGTTTTTCTGGTCATGATTTGCATTGTCAGTAATTTTGTAAATGGCTATCCAGAGAGGACATTTGTTATTGGCTAGGCTGATGTATTGGGCCATTTTGATCATTCTTCATTTACAAAGCATTTGTTTGCTTCCATTTGCTTGTGGCAGATTGAAGCAAACAGAAACAGGCTTTCAAATCATTATAAAGCCAAGTATTTTTTGCAGCGAAATACGTGATGAACAGAACTTTAGAGAGCCAAGTAAGAAATAGATGCATCTAACAAAAGCTGGTCCTTCTTCCAAAATACAATCATCACTTCTTAATTATTGTTGTGGTTTTTTTTTTAACATCTTCTTTACAATTTCTCTATTCCTTTTTGTGAAATGAAAGAACACAGTGGTTTTTTGGGGGGAAGAAAAATATGTCAAAAATGAAACAAATTGTTGCTTGAATGTTCACTTCAAGTAACTCAAGTACATAAACCTTATGAACGAAAGAGTATTAAGTTACACTAGGCCATGCACTTATGTTTTAAGGGAGATCATTAGCTTGTAAAAATAACTCATTAAAATGTTGATTTTGTTTTTCCTTCATCTTATTAGAACAGGCATGAAAATGCGTGATATGTACGATCATACTGTCTTCTGCACACAGGGTACTTTTTTTCTCCGAACTTGAACAAAAACCTCAGAATTCTCAGCTGAAGTCAGCACATGAGATGGACCCATCCATGCTTTGGAGGTGAGCTCTTCAAGGTCAAGACCTCCTTGCGTTCATCCATCTACCGCTAGATAGCGTTGTATTCATAAGAGCCGACACGTAGGCAGTGCTATCCATGTCCCAGACACTTTCCTAAGGGCCCTCATCAGTTGCCTCATGGACCCCTCTTGACAGCCAAATGCCCCTAGGGGCCATAATCCCCATTTCACAGATGAAAACACAGGCCCCACAAGGTTTGGTAAATGTGCCCAAGGCACACAGCTGTGAAGTGAGAGAACCGGAATTCAAGCCCAAATTCCATCCCGGCTCCAGCACCTGGGTGGGCTACGCCTGCATAGTGCAGCTTCTTTAGAATGCAGTAGTTGCTTCTTAAGTGTCGAAAAGGGCTATAAATGTGTGCTTCTGGTTGTGGAGGGAAGCACATATACTCAGTAGATTTGCTCATCAAAGCACCTGTTTCTGGGGCGCCTGGGTGGTACAGTCGGTTGAGTGACCAACTCTTGATGATCTCAGGGTTACGAGATTGAGCCCCTCAACCAGGGATTCACGCTGAGCATGGAGCCTGCTAGAGCTTTTCTCTCTCCCTCTCACTCTGCTCCTCTCCCCATTCCCCCCTCCCACCTCAGTCTCTCTCTGGCACTCTCCCTCTCTCTATCAAAAAAAAAAAAAAGGCACCTGTTCCTAAAAGTCCCCACTCTTGTCCACCTCAACCCAACCGTCATCAAATGCCTTTCTCCCCATCACTGTTCTCTGGAAGCAACACCATAAAATTATGCACTAATTACTGTGAATCCTAATTTTGTTAATTTCCAATGGTTATCTAACCTTTTAAAATATTTTCCGTTTAAAGAATAAATTAAATGTTATCCCAGAGGAATCCGTTACTAATAACAGGAAAGACTTTGGGGGGCCAGAGGCCCCTCTGTAGCACTGCTTCTAAAATCCAGCCACCAAAAGGCCATTCATACTTAATGCGACCCATTGCTCATGGAAAGCATCGGAGACAAGGTACCAGGACCTCTAATAAGTTGAGGAGCTCACAAAAGTGTTTTAAATTATTTTAAAATAAAAAAAACACTGTACTTCAAGGTCAAATAAAAGCTTTAATATATAGTACTAACATTTATTTTCATACCAATGCAGTTTTATTTTTTATTTCTTTTGAAGATTTTATTTACCTATTTGAGAGAGAGAGAGCGAGACAGAGATAGGGAGAGAGAGAGCATAGTGAAGAGGAGAGCATAGTGAAGAGGAGAGGGAGAAGCAGGCTCTCTGCTGAGCAGGGAGCCCCATGCGGGACTTGATCCCAGGACCCTGGGACCATGACCGGAGCTGAAGGCAGACGCTTAACTGACTGAGCCACCCAGGCGCCCACCAGTGCAGTTTTTAAAATATGATTTCTACTTCCTTCTCTTTCCATCTCTCCCCCTCCCTCCCCAGGCATTCCCTTGCTTCCTTTCTCCACTTCTTTATTCAATGGAAGAAGGGAGCTATGAAAGCAAAAATGCTTAGGGTCATAATGTGGCTAGTTGCTGAAGAGAAAACTATTTACTTGCATGCTTCCACTTTCTTCTGACAAGTTAACTGAATCTAAGAGAAAAAGAAAGAAACAGCAACAACAAAAAACCCCCACAAAACAAACCCCTTTTTGATCATATAAATAACTGAATCTAAAAATAATTTTTTTCCTATAAAATGGTTTCCATGGTTTCATAAAGAGAATGGTTATAGTCTCTCCCATTCCTGTGCTTTGTTATTTCACAAGAAACTTGGGGATTTGGAGATCTGATCTTTCTCTTTGTGTCTTGGTTATTCTATTAAATAACTAAATAGGGTTAACCAGGAGCAACAGAAGTTAACATTTTATTTGTGTTCCAAAATATAACTTTCTGATTTTGCTCAGGGGAAAATGTTTTTATTTCTGTGCAAACTGTCATATGATTATTTTAGGTAACTTCTATTGGTTTTTTTTGAAGATTTTATTTATTTATTTTAGAGAGAAAGAGAGCATGAGCAGGGGGTGGGGGCTCAGGGGTAGAGGGAGAGGGAGAGAGAATCTCAAGCCGACTCTGTGCCAAGTATAGAGCCTGAAGCAGGGCTCTATCTCATGACCCTGAGTTCATGAGCCAAAATCAAGAGTCGGACGCTCAATCGACTGAGCCACCCAGGTGAGCCAAGTAACTTTCATTGTTAAAATAAGAACAGTTTTGATAACTTGTCACATATTGCTAAATTAACAAAAATTTAATGCTAAAGTAATAACAATGCCACAAGATTTAGCTACGAAATTTTGAGGTACTAAATCTTTAGCCTTCTCAGAAGTCGTGCATTAAGAGAATGGGTTTGGGATATTTCAGACCAGGACTTTCAAATTTGTTCTATCTAGTACAGTCGCCACTAGTCACATATGACTGTTTAAATTTAATTTAAAGTAATCAAAATTAAAAAGTAGAGATTCATGTCCTCAGTCACACCAGCCACATCTCAAAAGCTCAGTACTCTCATATAGCATGTGGCCACCATTTTGGAAATGGCAGATACAAAGCATTTCCATCATTATAGAAGATTCTATGGACTTGGTCAGAGGTTAGCACATAAATAGTTTAGGCTTTGTAGCCAAATGGTGTTTGTTGTAACTACTCAGCTCTGTCATTGTAGTGGAAAAGCAACCGTAGACAATATATAAACCAATGGGTGTGGCTTTGTCCCAATAAAAGTTTAGTTAAAAAAATAGGCAGTGGGCTAGGTCTGGCTACAGAATATAGTTTGCCACCTCATGCAGGGCACTAAACACTGGTTAGACATAGTATAAACATTCAATAAATAGTATACTTTTCTTGAGTTTTTAAAAGCAAGGAAAGTAACTAAAAGACAGGAAATAACTTAAAAGTCCAGTAGTTTTTGTAAATATAATTTGGGGTGTTCCAGGGATGTAATAGCTGTAATTACTTTAATATAACACTGTAAACAAAACAAAACAAAACAAAAAACCAAAACCCCAAAGCTGAAAAGTATTTAGTGGGAAGAAAGATGCTTCTGATCCATCTCTATATTTGAAGGAAATTCTATAGGTTATAGGCCTATTTTTTTTTTTTTTTAAAGGGGACAGAAACACATACAAGTGGTTACACATCTCTGTGCAGTGACTTCGGTAAGTTTTAATTTCACTGTCTTCGCTTACCTGTGTTTTTCAAAATTTCCTACACATAATCTCTTTTATTTTTTATAATCAAAAGAAAGCAAGTACGAAACTAATAAAAGTAACTGGAGTCTTAATCTTCCTACAACACGTTCCTAATGTTGGTGAGGGAAATGCCCCGAATGTGCTCTGTTCTTAGTGAAGCACACCATTGTCCCGTTCTATTTAGTCTGTTTCTGTATACATATTTTATAAACACCTTTGGTATGAGACAAAACAGTAATAGTGTGAAGGTGGTCAAGCATGGAAATCGTGAGTAACTGAGAGATACGGTTTAATGGACGGCTGGATCGTTTATGACTTCAAGATAATCATTTGGAACTTAGGAGACAATTTCATAGACAAAACCCCTCCTTTGCTCACCAATTTTGTCTTCTTGTTACCTAAATATAAAAACAGGAGTTTAAAATATTTTCCATATATGAACCGTGTTGCATCTTCATCAGCAGTGGGTACACACGTATTAGGGATCAGTGTTGTACAAAACCAATGAAACCAGCCAACTCCATGTTCCCTGAGAATTTATAACATAAGAAAATGTCTGCAACAAAGTATTAGGAATAAAAATGGATTCATACACTGCTTGGATTTGGGTTATAATATAGACAAAACATACAAATGTCAAACCGAATTTTTAAATTTACATCCTAGAGTTTTATTTTAAAAAACAGACAAATACACACACACATAAAAGAGAAACAGAAAACTTTTGAATGTGTATTATGCAAATGCACAAATAGTGAATTTGAAATGTACCTTAAAGTTAAACAATTCAGTACAAATATTTGCTCCATCAGGAAACAGAGCATTATCACGATTTCTGGCAATATTTTTATTAGAAATCAAATGCAGCTTTCTTAAAAAAAATGTCCTTTTTCTGTGTTTGGAGCAACAGGAGACCAGGGAAGTTTAAGGGTGATTTAAAGATGTCTTCTACCTAAAATAGTCTGTTTTACTAAAGTTGGCAGCCTGATCCCCTTAGTTTGAATTGTCACGAAATTGATCACAACTGGCAATTATGAAGTAGCTAAACATGCCTGTATTTTTATCTTCTTTTGATGGGCAAAAATTCGGTTATAGGATAGATTAGTGTACATAAGAAAGGGAAACCTGTTTCCCTTTTCAGCTGAGAAAACCTCATTTGGGTAATGGTGTGATTTTCCATCTGAGGTGGTTATGCAGGCGTTAGTCAAGGAGCCCTATAGGAAAGGACGAGATGTTAAGTTTTACCTCAAGAAACATTTACAAGTCCTGTTTGGCAGCATTTTCTCTCAGAACAAGCTACGCCGTATATTTCAGAGAAATTGAAACCATATGTTGACACTTAAAAAACCTTGAGAAATACCACTGGAGTTTGCAAGAAAACATATAAATATAATCAAATCGTTGTAGAATATGTCTACTTGGATGACCTGTAACACTTCACTTGTTTTTCGAGGAGCTGTATTAGTGATCTTAATGCTATTAACTGTAATACACTGTGACCTAATTTAAACCAACTGATTGAGTTCGTATTAAGCTCTTCATCTTATATTTCCAAATTGAAATGAAAAGATTTAATCGTACCCGCTTCAATTTTAGTAATAATTACGTTTCCTTGCTGATCCTTGGCCTCTAGAGCTTTCCTGTCGAAAGACCGAGGTCTTGGAACTTGACTTAGGCCAAAATGAAGCCTCAATAAGAAAACACAATTTGGGTCATCTTTAGGCTGGCAGCTGTATGATGAACTGTCAACAGACATTCCAATTTCTCCAGTGCCCTGACCAGTCACTTCTGTCCACAAAGATTGAAAACAACCCTCCAAAGGCAATGACTTCAATCTTAATTTAAAGATGGACACCTGACAGGAGTTCCCTGTCGCAATTAAATTGTAATTTAAAGCTAGATACAGGAAAGTTCTCCTGGAGCCCCAGAAATATACCTATTTAGAGGTAAATACGGTGATAAAATATCGAGTGATCTTTGCCTATAGAAGATTCTTCACTTGAATCAAAGCATTAATGGTATCGTTGCCATGGTGTGATTTTAGAATTCTATCCACATGGAAAGCATAAAAGAAAAGCATGGTTATGATTTTTTCTGCATTGCGTTGAGTTGGAGATTCTGTGATGGGGCCTCAGGAAGGGAAAATCCGATGTCATCATCTAATTCTCACTGTATCTACTGGGTGTTCCCACTCGCGCTGTCACCTGTGAGTCTCCTAATCTCCATTTGCTGTGACTGCACGGATGAGTGCTCTTGGTTGGCTGCTCCTCTCTGCCCATCTTTTTTGTTGTTCTTGTTGTTAGTTTAATGGACTATTTGATATTGAAAATAAGGCAGTTTTGTTAATGCGGTTTTTCACATGTTTCTTCCATACATTTATTCTTTTTCCTCAAATTTTATTTCATGAACAGCATATTTCTACTTGCAAATCAGGTCCATCTTGCCAATTTTCTTTTTATTTATTTATTTATTTATTTATTTTTAGAAATTTTTATTGTTATGTTAATCACCATACATTACATCATTAGTTTTAGATGTAGTGTTCCATGATTCATTGTTTGCGTATAACACCCAGTGCTCCATGCCGAACATGTCCTCTTTGATACCCATCACCAGGCTAACCCATCCTCCCACCCCCCTCCCCTCTAGAACCCTCAGTTTGTTTTTCAGAGTCCATCGTCTCTCATGGTTTGTCTCCCCCTTCGATTTCGATTTCCCCCTTCATTCTTCCCCTCCTGCTATCTTCTTCTTTTTTTTTCCTTAACATATGTTGCTTTATTTATTTATTTATTTGTTTATTTTTGGTGCTGTGGTAGAGTATTTATGTGGAACAATGTACTTCTAACTCAATTATTTGGAAAGGGAGAAGCCCCCACCCCAACACAAACACATATCACCACCACCACCATTGCTACCCAAGGCACAGAGAAACAGAGAAATAGCTCCATGTTTTCCAGTGAAAATTCACAAAGAATTTGCATTTCGTACAATTTTATGTGATTCTTATTAATATCCTCGTGAGGGAGAATGGAGTTCCCAATACATGTGGACACATGCACTATGGCACACTGAATTTTGGACTAACAGTAACTACCTTCATATATTGAGTACCTATAGTATGTGCTAAAGAATTTGCTAGGTTTCAAATATATCTTATTTAAAACCTAACTAAAATCTATGAAGTTAATCCTCTCTTTATATATGGGGAAATGGAGTGTTGGGAATTTAAATAATTTGCTCACATTCCCATAGCAAGACTATCAGAAAGATAAATTTTTTTAAAGACTTTATTTATTTATTTGAGAGGGAGAGCAGGGGGGAGAGGCAGAATGAGAGAGACAGAGTGTCAAGCAGAGCCCGAGCTAAGTGTGGAGCTGGACTCAGGGCTCGATTTCATGACCCCGAGATCATGACCTGAATTGAAACCAAGAGTCAGATGCTTTACCGACTGAGTCACCCAGATGCCCCAGAAAGATAAATTTAAACGTAGGTTTATCTGACAATGAAGCCTGTATTTTGAAGTGTGTTATTTATTGCCCACTTTTTATGTCTCTTCATGATTCACGATTGCCTTGAAACTACTGTGAACAAATAAAACCAACAAAAGCGCAAAATCATTTGAGACAAAAGGGTGTGTTAGTTCACTTTATGTGTCAACTTGACTAGATCAGAGAATGCCTAGGTATCTGATTATCATTAAAAATTATTTCTGGGTGTTTCTGTGAGGGTGTTTACAGATGAGATGAGCCTTTGAATCAGAGGACTCGGTAAAGCACATTGCCCTCCCCAGTGTGGGTGGGTATTATCCAATCCAGTGAGGGCCTGAATAGCCTAAGAGGTAGAGGAATGGAGAATTCATTCCTTTTTTCTTCCTGCCTGCCTTCTTGAGCTGGGACATCAGTCTTTCACTTGCAGACCGGTACTTAGACTGTCTGCTCCTCTGGTTCTCAGGCCTTTGGACTCAACCTGGAACTATACCCTGGCTTTCCTGGATATCCAGATTGTAGGCAGCAAATCATGGGACTTGTCAGCCTCCATAATCGTGTGAGCCAACTCCTTAGTATGATAAATTTCATATATATGTATCCAATTGGTTCTGTTTCTCTGAAGAACCCTCACTAATACAGAGTGAGAATTTGCAAGAAAGGAAATAGAGAAATACAGATTTTAAATTGCCTTACAGTCAGGATTCTTTTTTTTTTTTTTTAGTCAGGATTCTTTTTGAACATCTCAAATCAATGGACAGAATTATGAAAAATATTTCGAGTATGTTTATGGACACTTTTGGAGAGAGATGGTCGATAGCTTTTATTATATTCTCTAAGTGGTTCATGATAGCTATCTATCTCTTTCATAGTAAGGTTGTTTATTTACCAAATAGCAACAAACCCACTCATCTTATTTAAATTACTAGTAATTGGGTCAGGATTAGATTGTTTCTAAGAGAATGTTCCCTGGTCAGTTAGACAGGCATTCAAAATCAGGATCCTCTTTTACAAGTTGGGTAGGTGTCCAATTTTCCGATGATCATTTTTCTAATCTATAAGATGGGAATAACAACAGTGCATGCCCCATAGAGTTGTTGTAGTTTTAAAATGAGAAAATACAGGCAACACTCACTACAGGGCCTGTCATACCATAAATTTAGCCTTTTTTTTTTTTTTTGAGTATTACTATAATTGCTATTTGTTAAGCAAAAGAACCAAGAACCATAGAAATAATCAAAGAACCATCCAAAACCTGTTGAACCTAAGTAATTCAATTTTGATGAGAGTCAAAAACAAAAGAAACAAAAACCAGGGATTGGCTTGGATAACATAACAATAATAACTGAATGAGCTAATAAGTAACAATTCAAAACTTTATTTGTATACTTTGGTTTCTATAAATGTACATATATTTTTATAAATTATATCAATGTAATTATAAGTGGATATACATTTCTATAAATATATATGTTTGTTGCT